AACCTGTCAGCTTCCGAAAGGACCTGTGTTGTCAAGATCTTCTCTCCTGACTGCCCAGGCTCCCCAGGCCCCTCCTGTGGCATCCGTACCAATGCCCTCCTCCTCCTCCTCCAGCCCCTCCCCTTAGCCTTGAATGGTCCAGTCCTGGGAAAGTTCTCCACCTGGAACCATTCAGGTGACCTCGGGCTCATGAGCCAGACAGGGTCAACGCAGAGCCCAGACACCCTCAGGGATGTTCTCCGCCTCCCAGCCTGTGTGCTCCCACTGCCCCCCACCCCACCCAACAGTCAAGCCCGGGCTTCCTGGCACCCCGCGCCGGTCCATCTTATCCTTTTGTAGCATTCCCCCCCCTGCACCTGAAAACCCTGTCCCGCTTGTCCAGCCCCCTCCTCTGCTGCCTCCGCTTAGAGCCTTAAGGTGGGTGGACGGTGAGGAGGGCGGTGGCCTCCACCCCGAGCGCCCCAAAAGGCGAGGGCTCTCTGAGCAGAGGCATCAGGGTAGGAGGCTGGTTCCCAGGGCAGGTGCTCGGAAGTGACCGGGGAGGGAAGGCTAGAGGGGGCATCCCGGAGAGGCGCTGGGTTCCCTGATGTCCAGGGCGGGTAGACTACGGGGAGGCGGACACAACATGGGGAGCAGCAGCGAGCCCTCCCGGAGCGAGCTCAGGTTGACCGGGTCAGGCTCCTGGACCTGGAGGTGAGCCGGGGGTGGATTCCAGGCGGAAGGGCACCTGTCACAGGGAGAGGTCTTCCCGGCTCGGGAGGGGACAGCTGGAGAGGATGGCGAGGGGGTTGGTAAGGGTCCTGCCCAGGTGGAGTGGCCGCGGCCGTCGGACCACAGCATCCGGACGGACATCACTGGTCAGGCTCCTGAGCCCGAGATCCTAGCACTGTCCACAAGGAAATCTCCAGCAGCTGCAGCTGCAGGCTGGCAGGCACCTCACTGGGACCTCGTGCGCATGTCCAATACTGGCCAATCAGCGAGCATATCGAGAAATGACCAATCAGTGCGCATGCCCCAAATCAGTCAATTACCGCGCAGGTTCAAAACTGGCCAATCAGAGCGCATGTTTCAGAACAGGTCAATCAATGCGCAATGCCCAGAACTGGCCAATCGGCGCCCATGTTCCGAACTGGCAATATTAGAGCGCATGTCCAGAAATGGCCAATCAGAGCCTATGCCCAGGACAGGCCATTCAGTACGAATGGCCAGATTAGGCCAATCAGTGCGCATGCCCAGAACTGGCCAATCAGAGCGCATAGCCTGGACAGGCGCAGCTTCGTTATAACAGTTTCCTGCTGGGGCGTCAGAACTTCCTGCCAGTGTTGCTATGGTTCCGAGGGCGGGACTATGAAAATGATGTTACTGGGGCCCTTTCTCTGTAAACTCTGAGTGTCCAGCGACTTTGTGTGTGTGTGTGTGTGTGTGTGTGTGTGTTCCGCGACTTTCTGTGATGTTTCGCAGTCCCCTCCTGTGGTGGTTCCCTGGTCCTCCCGTCCAGCCGCAGATCCCCCATTCGCGGAAGTGACTGTTGTCCTGTGATAGAGTTCAGTTTCTCTGGCCAGTAGGTGGCAGTGTGGCTCCGCGCACACCAACTACTCCCTCCTCCCCCGCCCGTCCTGCTCAGAAAAAATGGCTGGGGAAAAGGATAGGACTCATTTCTCTGCCACAAAATGGAGCCTGGCTTCTCAGATTGCCTGGGCCTGGCTGATCTTGAGGCCTCCTTGCTACCTTAGGGGGTGTCTTTGGTGGAAAGATTGTGCCTCCAGGTTCTGCTAATTTTATTTCTCCTTCTCTGAATGGGCTTCAATGGTTTTCCCCAGTTGCTTTGACCCTTCATCAGTATGTTTTTCAGATACATTAGTCACTCAGACCTCACTGTCCAAATTTGGAGGACTGATTAAATAAAATCATCTAAACCACAGTCCTATCACCCATCAATGACCATTAATAATACTTAGTGATGAATTTTCTGAGTGGTTTTTCATACTTTTAGATGTTTTGTAAACAGGACATTCATATTGCATTACTTCAACATTCTTATAAAAATACGTTTGTTATTGATTTTTCTGGAGAGGGAGGGAGAGGGATAGATAGAAAAATCAATGAGAGAGAAACTTCAGAGTCAGCTGTCTCCTGTGTGGCTCCTACTGGCCATCTAGCTTGAAACCAGGCCAAGTGCCCTGCCTGGAATCCCACCTGTGAAGAACTGTGATCTTTTGTTTCATGCGTCAATCCTCAACCAGGAGCGAACCTGGATGTCCTCAGCATCTTTTATCCAACTGAGATTTTTCATGTCAGTTACCTTTTAGAAAAATCACTTGCAAAGATCTGAACACATTAAAACTCATTTCCTCTTCCTAAAAAGTACACACAGTCTAAAAGAGTTAAAATTATATTTAAAGGTTGAGGTAGGAGACAGAAATGACCCCTGACCTGTAATATTCCCTTAGACCAGAGCTATACTTTTCCTATGTTTTTGCTCACGTCTGTATTTCAAGAGCTAAAGAAAAGACTGCCCACTGCAAAAGAAACCATCAACTAAGTGAAAAGACCACCTAAGGCATGGTAAAAAATCTTTGCTAACCACATATGTGACAAGGGATTAATATGAGGGCTGTAGAAAGATCTCACAAAAGTATTAGCAAAAATCCAAGTAACCCAGGTTTAAAAGTCAGCTAAGGACCCGAACAGAGCTATAGGAGAGGCCAACAAGTCCATGAAAAGATGCTCAAGCTCTCTAGCCATTGGGAAAATGCTAATAAAAAACACAATGAAATGTCATTTCATGCCCATTAATGTGTCTGCCACCAAAAAGGCAAGAAGATAAAGACCAGTCCTAGACTTTTGTGCAGTGATCACCTGATAATTGTATATAAATATCGAGTATGTTGTACGCCTGAAACTGATCTATAATAATAATTGCATATGAACTATTTCTCAAAATTTTTTTTAAAGAAAAGGAACAGAAGATTGCTAGCATGGATGTGCAGAACAGTGTAGCCTCGTGCACTGTTGGTGGGAATGTATATTGGTACAGTCACTATAAAAACATTATGTGGGATGAACCAAAAATTATATATAGAAGTACCTTATTATACAGCACTTCTATTTGTGGGAATATATGCAGAAATAAAAACAAAGAAAAAGACAACAAAATCTTGAAAAGGTATGTGCACACGCATGTTCATAGCATTATCTTTTAGAATAGCCAAGATAAGCAAGCAACCTAAGTTTCCACTGATGGATGAGTGGCCAAAATCTGTAACACACATACACACATACACACACTCACAATGGAATATTATTCAGCCATTAAAATGAAGAAATCCTGCCATTTGCAACTATATAAATGAACCTTGAAGGCATTCTGCTAAGGGAAATACTTCAGAGGAGAAGAAATCCTGTATGATTTCACTTATATGTGGGTTCTTAAACAAAGAAAAGCCCTAGAAAAGGAGCTCAGACTTGTGGTTGCCAGAGGCAGAGGTGGGGGAAAGGGAAATTGGAGGTGATCACAAGGTGGAAACTTGCGTTATAAGATAAAAAAGGACCAGGGAAATAATGTACACCAGATTACTGCAGCCAGCACTGCTGTTCAATACATAGCAAGGCTGTTCAGGGAATAAATCCTAAGGATGTTCACCACAGGGAGAACATTCTTTTTTCTATATGTTCTCTATTGCAATATTTTGTGAGCAGAGAAGACGGATGCTAGGTAAACCTACTGTGGCAACCATTTCACAGCGTCTGTAAACCACGCCATCATGCTGTGCTCTGTCAAACTACAGTGCTGTGTGCTAGTTTTTTCTCAGTGAAGCCAAGGGGAAAGCAGTGTTCTCAGTACACATTTTTGGAGGAAATGAGCACCTATGAATTTCTTTCAGGTCCCTTTCTTTGAAAACCCTGGATTGTTTCCTCATGCTGGGACGATACTGTGTGAATGACTTCCGACATGGCTCTCCCCCTTCCATGGAGGACTGGATTGTGAGCAATAACCATGTCAGGCCATGCTGTGGAAGTCCCCCAGGTTCTCTGTCCTCCTCCCAGAGAGTCTTTCATTTGCTCCTGGAGTTGGGGGCAGGGAGGCATCCTGCAGAGCAGTGTGCAGCCTGGAGTGTCTGGCTGACCTTTGGGGCCTCTGTGAAGACCCCTGAGGCCCTGACTGTGTGCCTCAGTTTCCACAGGTGTCCAACGAGGGCGGGGACAGCATCTGCTTCCCGGGGGGTGGAGGTGGCCAGCATCTACTCCCCAACAGGGCATGGCTAGCAGTTGCAGAGATCATTGCACCGCTGCCGAGGCTGTTGCCAGTATGCACTGCGATGCGGGCAGCCGGCACAGCGTGCTCAGGCAAAAGCCCACGTGTGACAGAGGCGCTCTGTGAGGGACACACAGCAGTGACCTCCGCTGGCCACGTCTGCTTCGTGGGCAGAAGACTCAATGTGACCTGGAGGGGAATCGACGAGGAAGACATACATGAGGAACGCACATGGATACCGTCCTCAAAGACTGTCCCACGGAACGTGGAAGGTGTGTGTTTGTGCATGCATGTTTAACCGCCTCGGACTGTTTAGTGTAGATACTGGGAAGCAGAGCTCTGGACTGAAGTGTGAACACGGAACAGGCTCGGTGCGCGCTGTGGAAACACAGATCCACTGGCTTGCCCCCCAATCCCGTGAGGAGTCTTGTGTCTTCACACTCACACCAGCACCTACTGGTGTTGTGAAAATACGCAGCACATTTCCTGTGACAGTTGTATGCACAGAAAGAGACCCCATTCTGTCATACATGGTGCCAATCCTTTTCCTGGTGTCATTGTTGTGTGTGTGGTTTGTTGTTGTTTGCCTTTTGGTTATGCCTGTGGCTGTCAGATGCGCGGATACATGCATTTTATGTGGTCAGATCTACAGGGTCACCTGTTCCCCCTGCGTGGCCTCACTCTTCGGTACAAATCTGACCAGCCCTTCCTAACCTGCCTGTGCTGCTGTTTTCATCCCTATGTCTTCTAATTCCATCCCCGGCCCAACTCCCTACTCAGGGAGGACCCAAAGCAAACGAAGGTTCACATCAGAGGGTCTCTCCTCCCAGGCCCAGTGGGCCTTCTCTCCGGGTGACGGGCCACTGGCACTAGTACCCGCAGGCGCTCCTCTCTAACCTTCTCCCTCCACCGTGGCTCTGGCTTCTCTCACCTAAATGTTCCACCGCCGGTTCCGACTCAGAAGGTCGCCAAGCAGGGACATTATTTAAACTCCACACAGAGGCCGAGTTTACCAAGAAAGAACTGGCCGCCATGGAACAGAACGCGTCTGCAGAACAGATGGCAGGGGCGAGGGTTGGAGGGCTGGGCCAGGGCAGGTGAGAGAGGGCTTGACTCCAAAGAAGGAGGTGCTGACAAGGCTCCCAGGACAGAGGTGGATTCCCCCGACCAGGCTTGTCCCACCATTGGGTTTGGCACACGAGGCCTGCACGAAAGCCACTCGTGTGGGGTCTTCTCCCAACTGGCCTGGCCCACGGGAGGCCCACCGCTCCCTGAGCCTGTCCGGTGGGGGCTGGAGTTTACAAATCCCACAGAGATGAGATGACCCCTCACACCCCCCTCCACTATTTCCCTCGGGGTGTAAAGGAAATTCCTCAGATGGGAGTCACTGGATGTACAGTAGGAAGTTGTAACCCACCCGCCATCCTGCCGACATTCCTTCTGTAATGTGGCTGGTAGATAACCAGCGTGTTTGTGTAAGGACCCTGGGAACTGACTTGAAAACACGCAGAGTGTGGCCTTCAGCCTCCCAGTTCCCAGAGACCTGCTGACCTCCAGCCCAGGGGCCTGCATGGTGAGGACCAGCATGACGCACTCCAGACCACCCTGGACAGGTCTCCAGATGCTTATCGGCGTGTTTCGTGCTGGTCTCCACGTACAGCCCTGCCCTGGTGTCCTTGTTCTGCCTTCCTCTCTCTCCTTGTAAATTCTCTGCCTGCTCTGAGCTGGTCACGGGGGAAGGGCTCTGAGACAAGAGGCTCTTCCCAGGAGGCCCACCCGACATGGACCCTTTTGCTTTCTCACCAGCATCTGTCGCATGAGCTCACATAGCCACGGTCAGACGATGGGACTTTAAGAAATGCGAATGGCCCTGACGAGTTTGGCTCAGTGGATAGAGCGTCAGTCTGTGGACTGAAGGGTCCCGGGTTCGATTCCAGTCAAGGGCATGTACCTTGGTTGCGGGCACATCCCCAGTAGGGGTTGTGCAGGAGGCAGCTGATTGATGTTCCTAATTCTCTATCCCTTTTCCTTCCTTTGTAAATAAAATAAAATAAAATAAAAATCAACGAAATATATATTTTTAAAAAGAAATGCAAATGCGATGGGCAAATGCTGACGAAAAGGGCCAAATGAAAAAATACAACACCAAGTTTAAAACCCTTTGTGTGTGACAAACAAGTTCTAGGGAAAAGTGGCTTATACAGATATGGAGAAACGGACCAGGAAAATAAAATAAAATTGGAAAGCATCTCCCAGTATTCCCTGAGCAGGTCTGAGTGCTGGTTCTGCTCTGGGTGCTTAGGGCAGAGGGCAGCTGCCTGCTTTGCCACCCGTGCTCTCACCACGGATGCCCTCACCACAGACACCCCTGCTCTCACCACGGACCCCCTGTCCTCACCACAGACACCCCTGCTCTCACCACGGACCCCCTGTCCTCACCACAGACACCCCTGCTCTCACCACGGACCCCCTGTCCTCACCACAGACACCCCTGCTCTCACCGCGGACCCCCTGCTCTCACACACAGAGGGTGCTGCTTCTGGTCCACAGGGCACTGCGCCTTCCACCTCAGACTCACACACCCTCAGCATCCGCAGTGCGCCTTGCCGCCCTTATTCCTCAGTCACATAACTAACAGAGCGACTTTCCAAAAGGTACACCGGGGTGTGCCAACGGGAGGGGAAGTCCTGATGCAAAAGGACCCTCACTGCATTTAAAACACACCTGGTGTCTGACGAAGCCCCTCTAAGAAATTGCCCACAAAATACTGTTCATGGTCAGTATTGGAGGATGGGACCCTGGGCTGAATAACTATTATATTTTATCCTTCTCACTCCAGTGTTCCACAGTGAGGTGTGAGTGACGGCCATAACGGAATCATCAATAGTGATAAAAGCGCAATGTGTGAACCAATCAAAGGACCGACAGCAGAACAGCCACCCGGAAGGCCTTCCCTACGACCACACCATGACACACACTGGCCTGCCCAGCCAAGGCGGGTGCGATGCGATTGGCCAGGGAAGCCCTAACCAGTTTGGCTCAGTGGATGGAGCGTCAGACTGAAGGGTCCCAGGCTTGATTCCAGTCAAGGGCATGTACCTTGGTTGTGGGCACATTCCCGGTGTGGAGGGCAGGAAGGCGTGCAGGAGGCAGCTGATTGATGTTTCTCTCTCAGTGATGTTCCTAGCTCTCTATCCCTCTCCATCTCCCTTCCTTTCTGTAAAAAATCAATAAAAATATATTGAAAACAAAGAAGATTGGCTGGGGCCCTGGCATTGCTTCACCATTGCCCTCAGAGGGAGGCCCCGGCCACCAGGCAGCTGTGCTGTGGTGTGCAAGGCTGGCCAGCCATTGCCTTGCAGAGGGAGGCTGAGGCCTGCCAGGGGATCGCACCCCATGCCTGTGGCCCACAGGGGCAGCTCGCAGATAACAAGCCATGGCAGCAGCGGGGGCGGGGCCGGCTGCTGGCAGCCTGGGGAAGGAAGGCCCAGATAGGCCCTGATGGCTGGCCAGGCCTAGGGCCCCTACCCGAGGGCTCCTGGATTGCAGAGGGCCCAGGCCGGACTGAGGGACCTGCCCCCATGCAGGAATCCCGTGCACTGGGCCTGCAGCACATACATAAAGGCCCATAAAACCCACAAGGAGTTGGGGAAAGCCAGTGAGGACCTGCTGCAGAGAAGCAGAAGTAAGTGCTGCTGAACACCCTGGCAGCAGCTGAGAGGAAAAGGCGATCTGGCCGAAACCGGTTTGGTTTTGTGGATAGAGTGTCAGCCGGTGGACTGAAAGGTCCCAGGTTAGATTCCAGTCAAGGGCATGTCATTGGTTGCGGGCACATCCCCAGTTGGGGGGTGTGCAGGTGGCAGCTGGTGGATGTTTCTCTCTCATCGATGTTTCTAACTCTCTAGCCGTCTCCCTTCTTCTCTGTAAAAAATTAATGAAATATATATATTTTTTTAAAAGAGAAGGCGGTCTGGAAGGCAAAGTGCTGAGGTGTGTGGATGAGTTTTCACCTGTGGAGCCCTGAGGCAGCAATGAAGTGCAGGGGGTCTCTAAGGCAGCTGAGGCTGCTGGGACAGGGAAAGTACCTTACAATTCAGAGAGGACTCGGGTCACTTTTTTCAGGCACAAAGGGCGGGGGAGAGGAGGCCCCGTGTGCAGCACGATGCGCCACTGCCCTCTGCTGTCCGGAGAAACTGAAGTTAGCTTTGTAACCACTTATGCCCAGCCAGGTCTAACCGCCCCGCCCTCCCAATATCCCCTCACTGCCCCTGCCCCGCTTCAGGTGTCAAACGCGCAGGTGAGAGATATCAGTAAATTGGAAAGAACCTGCCCACAAAGCCCCAAGCAGACTACTTCCCTAGTGCAGTTCTCGGAACCGCAGTAACAGGGCTTAGAAGTCCAGGGGAATCAGGTAAGTTGCTAACAGGACCTCGTGCTGTGCTCAGATGGCCGGGTTTGGGGCGTGAGAGCAGGAGCCCAGTGAGGTCGCTGCCAGAGGCTGCTGGAGGTTTGGTCTCAGACCAGGATGAGGAATGGGAGCAGATCAGGAGGAAGAATGGGAGCAGGAGTGAGGACCCAGTGCTCCCTGAAACCCCTGGTCCTCCGCCCTCACTAAAGCATCCCCTCTGAGGCCCGGGCCACGTCTGGAGCACTGTCTGTGCTCAGGCCCCTCAGGGTCTTAGGGGTGTCTGCTGCCTGCATTGGGGGCGCGCTCTCTTGTTTGGGGAACAATGATGAACGCACTGAAAAGCAAACAGCCTCGCTTCTAACACCTGATTCCTAGGAAGCCACGTGCAGGCTCTGTAGACTCCCCCGGGTTCCTCTCCCTTCCTGCTCAGTGAGGGTCCCGGAGGGAGGAGGGCGGTACGTGCAGGAGGAGGGGTGGTATGAGCAGGGGAAGACATGGCAGCCGGGGCACAGGTGAGGCTGGCTGCAGTCAGGGCAGGTGTGCTCGGTGCGGCAGAGACCGTCAGGGCAACAGCCTGGGCGATGGATTTTGGAACCTGTGAGAAGTCACCTCACTGCTGCCGTCTTCTCCACTGAATGGAAGAGGGTGCCGGGGAGTGAGGTAGTCATGGAGGTTGCAAGAGGGTGACAGTGAGAGGCAGTGGTCTCCTGTGAGAGTTGACTCTGTGGTACAGAAGAGCTGTCATTGCTAGGGACAGGGGAGCAGGAGGAGGATGGCGAGGGCATTGGTTAACTGTCCTGCACATGAGGCGGTGGGGAGATTGCCTTTGTTGGGTCACAGCACCTGGGCATCACTGTTCAGTTCCCTCCGCCCAAAGTTCCCACGCAGTCTACAGGGAAACCTCGACTGGCAGGGACCTCACCCGCATTTCCTGCGCGTGCGCACAACTGGCCAATCAGTGCGCGGCGCCTCCGGGAGCTTCCGGTTCGGGCCAAGGGACTTCCTGTCTTTGTTCCTATGGCTCCTAGGGCGGGACTAGGAAAGAGGCCTTGTGGGGGCTGCTGCACTATAGCCCCTTGGCGTGTGCTGTGACTGATTGTGATGTGGCCGTAGTCCGGTTCTGGTTCAGTCACGTGTCCCCCGGCTCTGAGCAGGGAAGTCACGGAAATGACCTTTTCACTGTGTGTTTGCTCCCGTTCTGTTTCTCTGGCCAGCAGGTGGCAGTGTTGTTCCATGCATCCGAGCTGCTCACCTCCTCCCCCTCCCTTCCTGCTTAGAAAAAATGGTAGGGCACGCTTTCTGCATTAAATGGTGCTTTGTTTCAGAGACTGCGCAGTGCAGCCCTATCCTTGGGGGGAAGGGGGGGAAAGGTGCTTTTTCTCCTACCCTAGGGATGTTTGGGGGGAAATTTTGCTATTCGAGGTGTCTGATATTACGCTCCCTATGTGTTATGCTAGGATTTTTATGTTATCACGATTTATATTTAAGTCTTTTATATATTTTGAGTTTATTCTTGTGTTTTGTAAATTGGTGGCTTAGTTTCTTTTTCTTTTTTTTCTTTTTTGCCTGGACCCGCCCACTTTCCCCAACACCAAATGCTGAATAGATTGTCTTAGTCCCTTGTATGCGCTTTCCTCTGTTAAATATTAATTAACCATAATGCCTTGGGTCGACCTCTGGGTTCTCTGTTCTGTTCCACGATCTATATGCCATATAATTGCCCATGGACACAGATAATAAGATGGTCAGTTTGGAATGCCAGTAGGAGGGGCAATGGGGAAATAAAGTAATACTCTCAACAATAAAGATTGAGGGAGGGGGGCAAAAAAATCAATAAAATATATTAAAAAAATAAAAAATAAATATAAATAAATAAATAAATAAAATTATTAGATTAAAAAAAACAATAAAGATTGAAATAAGTATCAACTGATGAAAGCTCTTCAGGTTTTCCATGACTTCCCCTTTTCCAGGAGGAGACAATGTAGATTAATTAAAATAAATCCCAGTTTTCCTTGCTTCAAGCTCTGTCCCCTTAAACTTTTATTCTCTTCCTAGTTTTATCTTTTGTTTTTAGTTCCTATAACCCTCAAAATGTAAAAAACAACAAGGCCAGAAAAACTTCTCTTGCTGTAGCCCAGTGGTCAGCCAACTGCAGCTCATGAGCCACATGCGGCTCTTTGGCCCCTTGAGTTTTAGCAAAGGCCAGCTTAGGAGTACCCTAATTAAGTTAATAACAATGTACCTACCTATATAGTTTGTTTAAAAATTTTGGCTCTCAAAAGAAATTTCAATCATTGTACTGTTGATATTTGGCTCTGTTGACTAATGAGTTTGCTGACCACTGATCTAGCCAATTTGGCTCAGTAGATAGTCTGTGGACTGAATAGTCCCTGATTCAATTCTGGTCAAGGGTAATGGTTTTGAGAGTACATGCCCAGGTTGAAGGCTCGATGCCCAGTGTGGGGCGTGCAGGAGGCAGCCAATCAATTATTCCTTCTTGTCATTTATGTTTCTATCTTCCTCTCTCTAGCTCTCTGAAATCAATAAAAATATATTTTTTGAAAAAAA